TGAGCTGGCGGATTGGAGCGAGCATTCTGGCGCCATGATGGAGGATTCTGAGTAGGAATACTATTATTGTTGTGACGACGATTGTTGGAATTATTACTTCGTTTGTTGCGAGTGGCCACCGCAGCAGAGATTTGGCTCGACATTTTTTTAACCTCCTCATGACGGAGAAAGAACTCATGGTCAAGCAGCTTCTCATACAGTTCTTCATAGGTGACTGTTGTGTCACCTGCACGTATAGCAATCAAGATCTCGCGAAACTCAGGGCCAAGTCCACCAAGGATTTTGACAATGAGTTCGGAATTAGTAACAGGGGCACCGGCAGTGGCTAGTTCACCTGGAAGAGGTCGAATACGTTGAAGGTATTCAGTAATACGGAGGAAGTCTTTGGTAATTCGGGCAAGTTGATCACGAAGGCTAAAGATCCGAGTTTGGGACTTGTTTGCATAAGCAGTATGCAAAGAGTCCCAAGCCTGTTTTGATGTGTTGGCAGCAACAACTATGGAGGCAATAGTAGGATCAACATACGCCATAAGGGCGTTTTGAATGAGTTGATCCTGATGGAACCAAAGTGTATAAGGGTTAGGGGGTTGTGTTGGTGCCAAAAATGGTGCTCGGGGTGGGAGTCGGGGTAGATCCATCAAGGTGACCATAGAGGTCATGTCCATGCATAAGCATGGAGAACTGAGCTTTCCAAGTGGAAAAATTGTGACTGCCACTAAGTTTGATTGGCAGTTGGGAAGCGGGGTTGAATTGAACTATGGTATTAACACCAGTAGTGTTGTCAGCATTGATAACTCTGGAATTGTTTCCATTTTTCGTCATTGGAGGATTTGGTACTTGGAAGAAAAAAAAAATAGGATCGTACTCGTTAGAGTTGTATAGACTCAGATACCATATGAACACTTGAATAGATGGTGGAAAACTGTATCTCTTATTGAATGCATAAATGAGTTTAAATACAAGTTACAGTAACCAACTTTCTAGAGTTTTATGTAAATCAAATAACTAAAGAATCCTATCTAAATCAAATAGATAACTCTGAAGAACTATGATATCATCTAATCTAGAAGATAAAGCAATCTGATCTAAAGAGATAAATACTAAGAACAAAATGATAACTACTAGTAACAGGGACTGTTGGTCCGATAGCATCACAGTCTGAAGTCATCAATTTTGAAATAAGAAAACACTTTGCTTATTTTAATTTCGAAGCTGCCTTACTGGAATGTTTGCCCAACAATCGAACATGAGTTCAGTGGTATAGCAGCACATAGGGAATATACTTATTTATATTATTGTATTTACGTCAAATTATATTTAATTTATTATTATTTAGTAAAAATATGAGATGAGAACGTGCATAAATTAAACATTATGAAGTGACAAATTTACTTGCATATTATATATTTATCGATTTGATATAAACGTCGGGT